GACACTGACAAAGGTTTTACAATCTGAGGTACAGGATCTCAGGATAAATCCTGAGGGGATTTCACTGACCTTATCAGACCCAAAAGCTACAACTCGTTGCATAGGTCTTGCTTTACTTTAGTCTTAACCATCCAGCAGAGAAGTATAAAAAGTAAAGCCATACTGTTATGTTGACCTATAGGGGACTCAGGGCAACAATTTCTGACATTGCCAGTCAAGTGGAAGACCCAATACTATTATGGGCTACTGGACTCTTTTAGAGTACTTTGCAAACTTAGGTTGTTCACCATCCAGAAGACAAGCTTATTGTTATTACCATACAATCCAGGCTGTTAAGTTTAACCTCACTATCTGTCTGAATATCAAACATCTTAGGCATAACATGGAACAGGTATTTTTCTTTTTATTTTTTCCCATAATTTTATTGATAAACAAATAGCAATGAGAGAGATTAAAATCAAATTGGTAACACAGTTTCAATAATTAACACATTGCATACATTCTTCCTAGTGGTTAATTGCTGTACAAGATGCGAACATGATAACCTATTTACAAACACCATTAGAACAAATCACTGACCTTCTCAGACCCAAAAGCTACAACTCTTGTTGCATAGGTCCTGCTTTACCTTAGTCTTAACTAAGTTTGCAGACCAAAATTACAGAAAAGGAAAGGTCGCAAGGACAGTCAACATTTTGGCCCTAGCCTTCCAAGGTCAATTAAGACTCAGGACATATGAGAACTTTTACTCTAACATCATGTAACTTGGTAGTGTCCCAAATTTTCTGATCAAGGAGATTATGGGGCCAAAGCGGAAAGTGATCGATGATGTAAAGTGTGCCTAAAGAGAGTCACATGGAGAGAAACCATTCTCTCAGGCTTTCACAGATAGCACATTGGCCATCCAATGGCCGTGACTCATCCACATGGCTGACACTGACAAAGGTTCTACAATCTGAGGTACAGGATCTCAGGATAAATTCTGAGGGGATTTCACTGACCTTATCAGACCCAAAAGCTACAACTCTTGTTGCATAGGTCCTGCTTTACCTTGGTCTTAACCATCCAACACAAAAGTATGAAAACAAAGTATAAGAAGTAAAGCCATGCTGTTATGTTGAGCTGTAGGGGACTCTGGTCAACAATTTCTGACATTGCCAGTGAAGTGGAAGACCCAATACTATTATGGGCTGCTGGACTCTTTTAGAATATTTTGCTGAGTTTACACACCTACAATATTTAAATGATGAAACAACAAAAAAGGGGATACAGATAAATGTCCATTTTGTATCTTTGCATTCAAAGTTTTTAGGATAGATACATAGTTACATTATCTTAATGAATACAGGGATTTGTTCTAATGGTGTCTGTAAATAGGATATCAAGTCCACATCTTGCACAGCAATTAATCACTAGGAAGAATGTATGCAATGTGTTAATTATTGAAACTCTCCTACCAATTTGGATTGAAACTGTCTCATTGCTATTTGTTTCTCAATAAAATTATGGAAAAATACAAATAAAACATGTGCTTAAAGAAAAAGAAAATTAAAAAATAAAATGAAAAACATTAATGTTTTAAAAAGATACCATAAAAATCCTGGTGATATTTTAAGGAATTACATGAAATCCATGGATCAATTAAGGAGAATGACATCAAAACAATATTGATTCTACCAATATCTGAAGTGTTACAGTTGTGTGCCTCTATTTAGTTAGATCTTTTTAAATATCTCTATCAACATTTTTGAGTTTTTAATTCTATAAGTCTTTCATGACTTTGAATAAGATTTTCTGGATATTTCAAGCTTTCCCGTGCTATTGAACATACTAATTATAAAACCCTAAGTAATCATTCCTAATATATAAAATCTGAATTACCTTTCCTACTTATACCATCCATCTTTGAAAAATTCAATTTGACCAGTCTAGAAATTTATCTATATACATAATAACATTTTAAAACCATATGAGTACACCATTTTTGAATAAGGGGAAATTTGTTTCTTCTTTTTCAAGCAATAAGAACACCTAACCTTACAGATACTTGTGCTGCTTTCCTCAGCCCAACAACCTACTTTCCAATGCAAAATTGTTGTGTGTTATCAGTCAAAGCCAAAAGAAATGATAGGAAAACTCAATGAATATATCCTTAGAGGTCTCAGGAGCTTAGTCTTGCTATAAGTGAGGTCCTAACCACAGAAGCTTCTCACATTTATTGAGGGTTAAAAACAGGCTAAGGAATGTGCCTCTTTAATTTGGTGTAAATGAACTGCTATCTACATTGCCTTCCAGCATTCACCAAACTCTAAGTTCATGTATCACTAGCTGGTAACATCCCAGGAGGACAAAAGAACAGGCAGGGCACCTCCAGGAACTGCTGTTTTCTGTGGCTTTCTTATTCCAGCTTCCTGCAATGTACAGGAGATAACAGGGCTCCTCGGGCTATGTTTCTTGCTCTTCACTCCTTCAGGACATCAGGCTTGTCTCATATCAATACACAAATGGTCCCCAAATTCTGAGTTCTGTGGCAAGAATGTCTACAAGGCTCCACCTGTGAACCTCCTTTCAGGACAACTGCAAAGATCCAGTGAAGCATCACTCTGGGCACAATGGCTTGGAGAGACCACAGGGAAAGCCTTGAGTGGCCGGGAACATGAAGAAAACGGGAGGTCAGGAACAGGGACCTGATTAGCTCTGGTCGGGAGGCCTCCAGGTTGTGATGTCTTTCTGGAGAGAGAACATTTAGCAAGGGACTTTCCTCCATAACCCTGAGAACAAAGTGGGCTAAAATAACCCCTGTGTGAACACAGACTTGGCCTCCAGAGAGGCACAAGATGAAGACTGAACCTGGACACAGCCAAGAGTAGAAGAAGGTCTGGGGAACTTACAGAGTTAGCCACAACCTATGTGCAATAAAACAAAAACCGAGCTGTGGCCCTTGAACCTAGGAGCACATCCCTGGGCTAAAGCACACTGCTATCAAAAAGGCTGTTTAGTAACAGCATATCTCATGCATGTAAATCACACCCACTAAAAGCTTTTGCTATTCACCTTCAATTCAAATATAGATGATGCATTTAATATAAATCAAATATTGTTCACAAAGGTAAAATTTGGAATACACACCAAAACTGTACAATAGATCTGAGATTTCAATTGTAAGAGGCATTCAGACTATGCTAAATGGAGCCATACCATGTGAATGGAATCCTTCTGAGCTTACACAGCCAATATGGCTTTGGGACTCTTGCTCCTATGCTCCTTTCAGACACAACTGTAATGCAGCCAGAGGTGTCTGCCTGACAGGTGGCATTTCTCGGCACAGTTGTACTGTGAGTGTTGGCTCTCTTCCCCTCCCATGACCCTGCTCACCTGCCAGGGCTGGAGGTGTCCGAGATCTCCACGTGCCTTAACCTCGTGTTCACAGGTCACCAGGTCCTGCAGGGCATGGGCAATGGTGTAGACAGCTGGGTATGCAGCATCCACTCTACTCACATCCTGGAAAGGATACTCATGGCCTCTGAGATTCTCAGTGCCTGAGCAAAGCTTCACATCCCTTGTCACAGTGTCACTACCATTTGGCCACATACACCCAAAGGTGGCTTCCCAAAACCTCTCCAAGAATATGTCCTCTGGGGTCCGACTGGGGTGCAGGCTTTCAAAGAACTCCTGGAGCCCATGCGCATGGCTACTGCGTATTTTAAGACCAAAAGCTCCTTGCAGAACCCAAGAGGCACCCGGTGTGACTAGAGCAATCACCGTGTGCAAAAGGCCTTCACTGACCCAGACCTGACCGAGGACACGGATGCCTACGAGGCGCCGCAGGATGAGTTCAAAATTTGTATTACTCAGGAACACCAGGACCCCTTTTGCTGTGCTCTTCCCCATCTTCTGCACAATATCATCAATTTTCTCAGGGGACTGCCAGGAAGGGACATGCAGGTGAAAGTTGATACAAACACCTCCCTGGCCCAACTCCTGTGTGGCCAGAGTGCCAGCCTGCTGTCCAAAGTCATCATCTTGGGCCAGAATGCCTACCCAGGACCATCGCAAGTGTAGCACCAGCTGGGTCACAGCGTAGGTGGACGTGAGGTCACTGGCACGGGTGCGCAGAAATGATGGGAACTGGGTCTTGTCACTGAGGCTGGGTAGTGTGGATGCATAGCTGACCTGTGGGGAGACCCAGGGCACAGAAAGAAAGACCAAGACTCAGAATCAGGATGTTCACAGGCTGATTTGGGGAATAAAGGCAGAGTGAGAAAGGCCAGATTCTCTGTATGGCCTGGGCACTCTGCCAGACCTGTACTTCTGCAAAGCATATTCCATGCCTATCTTCAGTACAGGGAAGCTAGTCACCTAGGTCAGAGCAGAAAGTAGACACCATCATTTCTTGAGAAACACAAGGGCATAATACTGATAATATGTTTGAGTGAACACCAAAGTCCACCACCACACTGCCTACAAGAGACACTCCTCACCCATAAAGACTTACTTTCACTGAAATTGAAAAGTGGAAACCCATATTTTCTGCAGGCAGACCACAAGTGTGCTATAAGTAGTTACTGCAACCACTGACAGAATAGATTTCAAAGTAATGCTGATCATAAAGGCCAAAAGAGGTTGCTATGAGAGAGCTATAAGTAGTGGCCTTGATTGTTGTCTCAGCACTCAGGTGGCTGAGACAGGAAGATTGATCCAAGCTCAAGGTAAGCATGAGTTTATACTGAGTTCAGGTACAATGTGAACTACATAGAAAGACCCTATCTCAATGTGAAAGACAGAAGTGACAAAGTCAAGCCAAAAAAGGCTCATTGCATTATGGAGTAACAAGGTCCATACATGTACTTAACAGGTCTGATTCAGAGACAAGTGATAGATGTATTAATATTCTGAATGTCTATGACTCAATTTCAGAAAACAAACACTACTCGACATGCAAGGATTGTGATCATTATAATCAAAATGGGGGTTTTGATATCCCTACCCACAAATAGAAAAATAAATCAGCTAAAAATATCAAAAACTATCAGTTGAATCTCACAAGTGAAAAACTGGATTTAACAGATGCCAGAAGAATACTTTATCCAACAGCAGATGAACTATACTCAATGCCCAGAACAGAATCTCTAGATTATACAGCATGTCTGAGTAGATGAAAAACAATTAGAAAACATTTTCAATTCTATCATATATAAATGGGATGGCAGTAGAAGTTAACAGCAAAAGAAACTATAAAAACTAAACAACATGGAGATTAAATCACAAATGCTTAGAAAGTAATAATTCAATGGTCTGAAAAGAAAACATGGAAGAAATATAAAAATTTCTGGAACCAGGTAACAATGTGAGCACAACATACCAAAACCTTGGAACCCAAGGAAAGCAGCTTTCCTGGCACTATTAAACAAATTCTGGGCAGCATGCAGGGCTCGGGTAAGCTCTGATCTTCCTTAGCACATAGCATACAAGCGTGGAGCCTCTGGTGGTGCTGAAGCAAACTTTTAAGAACTTAGAAGGACTCTAAGTGGCCTGTGGGAGGCAGGAGAGCTGTGATCTGTGGACTCATTGCAGTCAGACTGGGAAGCTGTAGGACCCTGTCTAGGTGATTTCTGAGATCTTCAAAAATACCAAAACACAGGGGCAAAAGGCAATATGAATCCTCTAGCCCACCCAGAACAACTCCAGGACACAAAGACATACAAGAACTTGGAAATCCCTGAAATGATAGTTTTTCAGGCTACATCAATCTGGATTGGAAGTTGTTTTCTTTCAAGACATGAAATATGTCACTCCAAGCTCCTCTTGATTTGATCATTTGTGTTGACATATCTGCCATGATTCTGATGGGCTTTCCATTTTAGGTGACTAGTTAATTCTCTCTAGGAGCTTATTATACTCTATCCCTTTGTTGAATTTCTGAGATCTTGGTTATTTTGTTTCTGTTTTTGTTTTTTTATTTTTAATTAATTTTATTGAGAAACAAATAGCAATGAGACAGTTTCAAAACAGATTAGTAGGACAATTTCAATAATTAATACATTGCATATTGTTGTCTTCATAGTGGTTATTCATACTCTAAAATGCAGACATGATATCCTGTCAATGATAATCTGGGTTAGTTGTTTTCTTTAAGGACTTGAAATATGTTACTCCAAGTTCTTTTTTTTTTTTTAATTTTTATTTATTTATTTTTGCGTGTGTGCGTGTGTGTGTGGCCAGCTCAGCCCACCAGGGGGCGGGGCTGGCTGGCTTGTGGTGCTGGGGATTGATCCGCGGTCCATGTGTTTTGCTAAACTTGTTCTAAGTAGGTGCTTTAGACCACTGAGCCATCTCACCAGCCCCACTCCAAGTTCTTGATTTGATGGTTTTTGCGAAAAGTCTGCTGTGATTTTGATGGGCATTCCTATGTAAGTGATGTTTCTTCTCTAAATGTTTTTAATGAACTGCTCTTGTGCTGAGTCTGGGAACTTAATTATTGTATGTCTGGGTGTAGATTTATTTTCGCTATGGGAAATAAGAGTTCTATATGCCTCACTTACATGTATGTCAGTTTCTGATCTCATGTTTGGGAAATTTTCTTCTATTACTTTTGCAATTGGACTTTTTGTTTCATTTGTGTTGACTCCTGCATTTTCATTGACATCTTTCAGCCTTATATTGTTTGTCTTTGTATTATGTGCAGCTACTGAATTGGTATTGCTTGATACCTCATTATTTTTAATAGTTTTTATGATTGCTATTAAACTATTATTTTAATAGTTTTTATCTGTGATCCTGTCAATGTCAGATGGTTTATCTTCAGTTTCTTTCATGTGGTAATACCAGCTTTCAATGGAATTTTTTATTTCCTAGATACTTGGTGTTTTTTTCAAAATTTTATTGATAAACAAATAGCGATGAGACAGTTTCGAATCAAATCGCTAGGACAGGTTCAATAACTAACACACTACATATTTTCTTCTTAGTGGTTAATTGCTGTACAAGATGCGGACTTGAGATCCTATTTACAAACACCATTAGAACAAATCATTCTATTCATTAAGAGAATGTAACTATATAACGATCCTAACCACTTTGAATACACAGATACAAAATGGACATTCATCTGTATACCCCTTTTTTTCTAAGTTCTGTTATTTGAATATTATAGGTGTGCAAACTCAGCAAAATATTCTAAAAGAGTTCAGTAGACCATAATAGCATTGGGTCTTCTGTTTAACTGGCAATGTCAGAAATTATTGACCTGAGTCCCCCACAGCTCAGCATAACAGCATGGCTTTACTTCCTATATTTCGTCTTCATACTTTTCTACTGCATGGTTAAGACCAAGGTAAAGCAGGACCTATGTAACAAGAGTTGTAGCTTTTGGGTCTGAGAAGGTCAGTGAAATCCCCTCAGGATTTATCCTGAGATCCTGTACCTCAGATTGTAGAACCTTTGTCAGTGTCAGCCATGTGGATGAGTCACGGCCATTGCTTGGCCAATGTGCTCTCTGTGAAAGCCTGAGAGAATGTTTTCTCTCCATGTGACTCTCCTTAGGCACACTCTACTTCATTGATAACTTTCCTCTTTGGCTCCATAATCTTCTTGATCAGAAAATTTGGGACACTACCGAGGTACATGACGTTACAGTACAAGTTTTCATAGGTCCTGAGTCTTAATTGACCTTAGAAGGTTAGGGCCAAAATGTTGGCTTTCCTTGTAGCCCTCCTTTTCCTCTAATTTTGGTCTGCAAATTTAGGTTGTTAACCATCCAGAAGACAAGTTTATTGTTATTATCAAACGATTCAGGCTATTAAACTTAACCTCACTATCTCTCAATAGAAAGAGTCGGGACGGGGGCACGAACCGGCGACCTCGCACTCCAGAGCCCAGCGCGGAAACTGCCACGCTAGGTCGCCGCCCTGATTTCCTAGATATTTGATTGAATTCATTTCATGGATTCTGTTTCCTTCCTACATCAGTCATTCACAGTTTACAGCCTTTTCCTTTCGTTATTTATTTTTTAATCTATCTCTACTCTAGATTTTCTGAGCTATTCCTTTGTGAATATTTTCATTTCTTTTTTAACCTAATATATTATTTCTTATCTAATTTCCAGTACAGCCTCATAGATTACTTTCTTTACTTTATTTGCTATCACTTGAGAACTTTTAGAAATGTGTGTTTCATTTGCTTCTATCTTTTTGTTTTCTAGACTTGTTCTTGGTGAGCTGATTGTATGCACTTACATCTTACTTCTATCAGACCCACAAATTAAAATCCCAATCCAGAAATAAGCATCTGAAATAGATACTTCTTAGATGAAGAAATGAAAAGAGCTAATACATACATGAAAAAAATTTCATCACCACTGATCATTTGAGAGTTGCAAATTAAAACAATGAGATTCTACCTCACTCCAGAAAAATAAAAAGCTATTATCAAGAAAATAACCAAAAACAAATGCTAGTGAGGCTATGTACAAGGAGGAAGGTTTTTTCAAATGTTTGTAGTAGTGTAGACTGGTGCAACCACTATAGAAACTGATGTGGAGATTCTTCACAAAACTAAAGATACAGGTTCCATTTGACACTGTATTTCCTTCTTGCTATCTTCCTGAATGAATTGAAAATATCAACCCACAGTAAAATACACACACACAAGTCTATAACTACACAGTTTGTCATAGCTGAATCTTGGAAATAGCCCCTATGTCCATGAGCCAATGAATAGATATAGAAAATATATATATATATGAGTACTACTCAACCACAAAAATGGGCAAACTAGAGAAATTTCTAGATAAATGGGCACACCACAAGACCATCATCTTAAGTGAAAAAACATGGATGCAAATATTTAATACCACATTGTTTCTCTGGTGCTAAAAACCCTAAATATAAGACCAAAATATATACTAGATTTTAAAAAACAGGAAGGTAATGTTCAAATGGGGAGAGCACAGAGGCAGGGAAAAATGGAAAGGTAGGAAAGGACAAAGGAGAATTGCAGGATAAATTTAAACAACTTTTTAAAATAAGATGAGAAATGTCTCTGAAGGGAATGAAAGGAAACATGAAAAGAAGCAGCAACACATATCATGTGCAGGTACAAATTTCCTGCAATGAACGTAATCATTATGTATATCTAAAATGCATCAATTAAAAATAGATTTAACCACCCAGATA